ACACGCTGCAGAAAAGCCTTTCAAGTGTAAAATTTGTTTGAAGCAGTTTTCTCGAAGATATGATTTGAAAAGGCATATGAGTGTACACACTGGAGAAAAGCCTTACAAGTGCGAAATTTGTTTTAAACAGTTTAATCAAGTATATAATTTCAAAAGTCATTTGAGTTTGCACACTGGAAAAAAGCTTTACAGGTGTGAAATTTGTTTTAAGCAGTTTGCTACAGCAAGATATATGAAAATTCATTTGAGTGTGCACACTGGAAAAAAGCCGTACAAGTGTGAAGCTTGTTATAAGTGCTTTGGCCAAGAAAAGCATTTGAAAGAACATATAAAAACACACATTGCAGATAGGCCTTACAAGTGTGAAATTTGTTTGAAGCAGTTTTCTCGAAGCTATTATTTAAAAAGGCATGTGAGTGTACACACTGGAGAAAAGCCTTACAAGTGCGAAATTTGTTTTAAACAGTTTAATCAAGTATATAATTTCAAATGTCATTTGATTGTGCACACTGGAAAAAAGCCCTACAAGTGTGAAATTTGTTTTAAGCAGTTTGCTACAGCAACTTATATGAAAAATCATTTGAGTGTGCACACTGGAAAAAAGCCTTATAAGTGTGAAACTTGTTATAAGTGCTTTGGTCAAGGAAAACATTTGAAAGAACATATAAAAACACACGCTGCAGAAAAGACTTTCAAGTGTGAAATTTGTTTGAAGCAGTTTTCTCGAAGATATGATTTGAAAAGGCATATGAGTGTACACACTGGAGAAAAGTCTTACAAGTGCGAAATTTGTTTTAAACAGTTTAATGAAGTATATAATTTCAAAAGTCATTTGAGTTTGCACACTGGAAAAAAGCCTTACAGGTGTGAAATTTGTTTTAACAACTTTACTAGAGCACACGATTTGAAACGACATATGAGATTGCATACTGGAGAAAAGCCTTATAAGTGTGAAATTTGTTTTAAGCAGTTTAGAGAAACAAGTAGTTTGAACAGCCATTTGAGAATACACACTGCAGAATAAGTTGTTGGCTAATACTATTAAAATAAGTAGTTATGGGCGATTTGGTTACGGTTATTATACTTCAAAAAAATCCTTAAGAGTGTGAATGCATAAACTCGAACCGTGGCACAGCCACCTTTACTTCCAAGCCATGAAGTAAAAAAGGCAACACCGCATTCTATGACGTCGGTAGTCCGATAATCTGCTGTAAGGTCTACCAGAATATTAAACTAATTTGAATTTTAGGAAACTGATAATTTGAAAACTTCAATTCATTACAGAAATATTTTTAGGGAAATTAAATTAATAAAACCTTATATATACCTAGTAAATATATATAAAGTTTTATTATTATTTAGGTTATATTATCAATAAAATAATCACTAGAGTAAAATTTATTGCACTTAAAATACAGTGTCAAACAGTTAATCTTACAATCAAATACAGTCAAGAATCTCTAGAAATTTTAAAACACAAAAACTTAGTGTAACTATTATGATTAAAAAATTCATCCTAAGAAATCAGACACAATATAAATATGGTTCTAAATTAATCTAATTGTAAAAATTAAATATTTTACTATTTACTTATAACTTTTGTTGAATTTTCATACTTAGATATACAAAAGTAGCAATTTTAAATATGAATAGGTTTGTTGTCATATAGACCAAGTTAAAAGAGGTATACATGAAAAATGTGTTGAATGTAACATACCATATTTATAACTTGTATATCGATTTAAAATAGCCTATATTCTCAAAAGATTTTTGAATGTAATACTCAAATTTGTTATCACTTATCTAAAAAGCAGATCTAAATGAGAAAGTAAGTTCTCTAATTGTGACCTTCTTGTTAATTTACTGTATTGTAAAATCCATTTCAAATCATTACCACTTAACTAGTAACCACTCAGTATACCTTCTTTAGGGATCTTTGGGAAACAAAAACGTACTTTCTGCCTGTTTCGTTTTTAAAGTACTGGCATAATTGGTTTTGCAACCAGGTACACAACAATGCCAGAGCATCTGTAACATAAAAACAAAAGTATTATTATTGTTGTTTTTAGTTTACATATTTTGTAACAAGAAGCAAAAGTATTATTATTTTCAGTTTGTTTTGTAGGTTATATTTATACTTGCCTTTTAAATTGTCGTTAAAAATCTTCTAAAATTTCTAAATTTAATGAAATTTCACTTATATTAATATTTTCTAATTGATGTAAACACAATTTATAAATAAAACATTCGAATAAACTTAAAAAAACAATAAATTCAACAAACTTTACAAGCCTTCCTATATGAAATGTTAAACCAAAACAAACTAAAGTCGGACTACCACGCGTTGTTGCCAAATTTCTACTTCATGGCTTGGAAGTAAAGGTGGCTGTGACCGTGGCCGTCAGCTTAAAACCATCATGAAAGATGTAGTTAGGGGAAAGTGGAAAAGGAGTACGAACGGAGCTATTTATTTAACTTATGCATCCAGGCTTAATCAAATTTCGACGCCATTGATTTGAAACGGTTTTTTTTGTTTTTATACACAATAAAATCTTTATTTTTAATATATTAAATTGTTAAAGTTTTAATTTTAAAACTTAAAAAGGTATGAAATTTGCAATATTCAAAGTATTTACTTTTTATTATTACATGTAAATAAAATTTTATAACTTTGAATTAAAAATAGGCTTGTTTAATATATATATATATATATATATATATATATATATATATATATATATATATATATATATATATATATATATAATATATATATATATATATATATATATATTATGTAATATAACTTTATATCAATAATAGTTTGTTATTATACTGTTTTTCGTCCTAAAAATTTACGAAACATTTTAAAAAAATTTTAAAATTATATTCAACCAAATCAGGACTTTTCAATAAACTTTTTAGACTATTTTCGGAATTATTTCAATGAACAATTGTCCTGTTCAAAAAAGTATGGTAACTTTCTATTAAACATTTTCCATTTCGCCGAAACTTCCGTTTCATCGATAATCTTTTAATGACGACAAAAAGTATTCCTGAATTATTTTTGAAATATTTAACAGTAACTTTTCATGAATAAACATTTAAAAAAGAAAAATATAAAACGTGCAGTAAAACTTAATATATACACGACCTTAATAAGACCGGTTTTGATATATGGAGCTGAAACGTACAGCAATGAGCACTTCCTACTACCTTCAAAAAAAATTAAAAACCTGGTAAAGCCTAGACCCCAAGATGATATCGGATTAGATCATCTGGATCATTTTCCAGTATAAGGTGCAATGGGCAGGTGCAGAAATTGCAAGAAGGGACAAACTGCTATATTTTGTAACAAATGTAATATTAGACTATGTTTAGTGCAGAACAGGAATTGTTTTATGGAAGTTCACATTAATAAATAAATATTTTTGATTAAATTTTGATAGTTCTTATTCATATTTCTTGTCCTTCATAATTTGGCAATGTATGATATGCTATACAGACCTATTTTTCGCTCTATTTATCATCGAGCAAAAAGACAATAGAGGGAATGTAAAGGTAGTGGGGGCAAACATATTGTTAGACAGGAAGTGCGATCTTTAGAGGCCACATTAAACAAGGAAAGAGAGTCTCTCTCCTTGTTTGACATCAAATTTAGTTGGGTTATGTTATTGTTTGTCCCAAATGTCACATGAAATCTTATTTATATTGAAGTTTTTTAACAATTGTGTCGCATTTTAGACTCTTATCATTAATAATTAATTAAAACTTTCTCGTCTAAGACACATTCTGCGAAATATTATATAGCTACTGTTGATAAGTGTCGGAAAATTTAAATTTGGCGCATTCGCATTTCCGGATATGTTCGCCATCAGAGGCCACTTTTTTGGTCTCCTTTTCATAAGGATTAGATTCCCTCTTTTGTCTTTTTGCTCGATGAGGGAGACACCTAGTTCTTTGTCGACTCGACCTATGAGAAGATTGGATCAAGAAAGATTAAAAAAATGTCAGGCTAAACCTCAAAAAAAACCAAAATGCATACATAGTCAAAAAGAAAGACAAGCAAACAGACTTATATTGTCGCTCTACATTCCTGTCAGTTAACAGAAGGAAAGATTATGAGAGAGTAATAAACAAATAATTGCTACAAATTAACAAGGACTACTACTACTAGAAGAATAAAAAGGAAAGAGGTCATAGAAAGGAAACAACAGCAGACATGAAAAGAGAAGCAAGCAGCATGTGCTGTTAAAAGTATGACCTCCCCAAAAAAATACTGCACAAATTGATGGTGTCAGAGTTTTGGAAAGGGATTAAAAGAAATTAAAGGATGAGTGGCGGTGCGTGGTAAGTTGTATACGAACTACATAAAAGAACGCAACAACAGTGTTCAAATTTTCCAACGTGCAAAAAATTCATTCACTTAGATATTTAGTATGTACTTTGATACAGTACATTTTTATATTGGTTGCAAATAGTAATTAGCAAAAAATTTGTAATTGCCATTTGGTAGATTAGCTGATAAATTTGGCAATATTGTCAAAACCTTCAAAACACTAGTTAGATTACAAAATACTAACAAAGTAAAAATATATATTAAAATCATTACAGCAGAATTTAACATTCTCGTTATTGTACTGTTTCATGTTTAATTAAATTAATAAATATATCGCATCCTTTTTTGCAGTTTATTAAATCAACATGGCAACACTGCTAAATACAAAAATTTCCTTCATTTGTAGCTAACTTAACCGGAACGTTCTGCATACTTTTACTTTAAAAGTTGATTATAAAAAAAGGGAAACGATGAAATATATGTTTGGCATTTTACCATCGAAACTCATGTATTTTACATATTTTTAAATGTTGCGTTCTTTTAACTTTAATGTAGTTCGTAGACAACTCACCACCCACTGTCACTCATCCTTAGCACAGAATAATTAGCAAGCCAAATTGATGTTCTGTGATAAAAATTTGTAAATTCTGTCATTTTTCCCGCCTAACCTAAAAGTGGTAAACAAAATATTTTGGATGTATTATTGGCTGGTATATAAAAGTGATATAAATAATCTTATATTCCAATGATATATGTGAAGTTGATATACTTTGTTGCTGCTTAATTGTAAGTTTGGAAATTTTTTGTATAGTTGTATTATATACTATTGTATAGTTATTCTCAATTGTTTTAATTGTTTGCAAATATATCAAGTAAAACTTGCCATTAATTCAACAAAAACTCAACTCCCAACGAAAAATCAAGATTATAATGGATTATATTATTCTTGTAGAGTACGTATGCTATGATGTATTAACAATAATAGATGTGGAACTTGTGAAGAAATGTAAAGAACTACAATAATGATAAATTAGTATCTGTAATTATGACTACTTGATTTATGGCTTGCCTGAATCAGAAAATTGTATATATGGGTATTCAGTTTCTTCTAAATTATCAGAGGAAATAAAGCACACAAGAGATATATGTAAAGGAGAACTAGTTAAAGAAGAACAATGTTCGAGGAATTATAGAGCAGATATGCAAAAGTGAACAAGGGTATAAATCCCTAACAAGTTTGGGCAGGAATGATGAAATAAGAACACCGAGTATTGAAAAGATTAAATAACCAATACAGGCAAAAAGAAACAACAAATGCCAGGATTTGATGATCTTCCCTCTGCTTCATTAAAATTAGGTGACAAACACAAACACCTAGCAGGACATATGCATACACTAATAACCAAACTGTAGAATAAAGAGAAAGTTTCTAGTGATTTAGAGATTGAAAAAGTTTTTTCTCATTCTTTAAAGGTAAAGATTCTCTTTTCCTTTATCCTTATGTCTGCTCACATTATATTCTGGCTAATTAAATACTTGAGTATGGAGTTACCACCAAAAATGAAATGATAATAATTAGAGGTAATAATAATTATAGTACGAAAGATGAAATGGAAGTGAGTGGTGTATTATGTGACAAAGATTTCAATGAAATTGGAAGAAAAAATCTATAAAACTGAGATAAGACCAGTTATGATGTACAAATCTGAATGTTGGACTGTTGAAAAGAAAGAGGAACAACAAATGAATGTAGTGAAAATGATAATACTCAGATGTTTGAGTAGAATGACAAAAAAGATTAAAATTAATAATGACTATATAAAAGTTCAATATAATTTAAACAATTTATTACTAAATTATTTGTTTCCATTTGTTGGGCTGCGAAAAAATTCTACTTCTTGCTTGTGTTTGTTTGTGATGTATGTCCAGTGAAATATGTTCCAGTTGTGAATTTGTTTCTGTAATATTTCCCATATGTCCATTTACTATTATTCTTTTCTTTTGTCATTTTCCTTTATTTTTTTTTTAGATATTAATTTTCTCATCCTTTAGATCATTTGTGAACATCAAACCATCTTTTTGTTTATTTTGGCTACTATGTTTTTAGCTTGCCTGTGTTCGGCAATTGTTAGTTTAGTCATAAGGTTAGGTTCGACAATACTTCTGAATTTTTTTAACAACATATTTGCTTGCTTTGTTGTGTTAATCTTGGTTGATAAACCAGAAATTTATTGATTAATTAGGAACTTATCTTTAATATCGTTTATCAGATTATTGTTTGTTGTGGTCTTTAGTTGTCTATGTAATTGTAATGCAATTATCTTTCAAATTACCTGATACAATATTACAAAAACGTGAAAATCAACAAGAGTCTAAAAATGTCAAAAAACAAACAGGGTGTTCTATAAAATATATATAAGTATGTTAATGAATCTTCAACAATCCTTTTAAGGAGCTTTTTAATGACCCTTCTTATTGCCTTATAGTTTGTAAAATCAAAGTAATAAAACCTTTTTTATAATCTACTGTCAAAACCTTTTAGAAGGATAAAAAATACAAGTGAATGGATTATGGCTTACATTATCAAATTAAAAGGCAATAAAAACATTTTAGGACTGATCATTGAAATCTTTTAAGTAGAAATAGTCTCATTGAGTTTCCAAGCTTCAGCTGAAATTTATTGTTTTTGGGGCTATTCAGTTTTTTATCTAGATTGACCTACATTAACTGTTCATTTAAATATATATAAAAAGTAATCTGGAATTGCAGGTGTAGATTGAAAAAAAGTAAAGAGATATATGAGACAATTCCAAACCATTTTTTGACCCTTTTTTATAGTAAATACATTTGTATTTTACGTATGTCCCTAACCTGTGGCATTTTTTCTTGCAGTTTATTCCATATATTTTTTGAATAAAGTATGGGACAAAGAGCAACCCTCTTTAAAGCCTTTACTTGACTAAAACACTATATTTCTTTGGTGGCATTTATTAAGGTGTTTCTTATATGTATTCTTTCCATTGCTCCCCAGTTTTGACACTGGTACACTGCCATATGCTTATGTTAGATGTTGGTTAATCGTTTGTATGATTTGCTAAAAACCATTGGAACATAGGTTATAGTTTTCTTTTAGATTTTTATTTAGTGTTTTCGGATATAATGTTCTTACACTTACATACCCTTCTTACACAAACATATTTCTTACTAATTCAATTTATTTGTTTCTATCCAATATTATATGATATTAATTTTGAGGCTGTTCATCAAATATATAAACGCCCTCTATTAATTTATTGTGTATTATAGATTAACTTTTTTTTTCAGATGTCATCTTTATTATCTGCGGAAATATCTGCCACTTGCAATGCATTGGGATATTTTGATGAAAAAACAAATAAATATTATGCTGATACAAACACTCTGGAAACAGTCAAGGATCTTATTCGTTATCTGAGGAGAGATGATGACATCCACACTATTAGAAGGCAACTAGGTGACACAAATGTTTTAACAACTGATCTCTTACCTCTATTAAAGAGTTATCATGAAGAAAGTGATCTATTTGATGTTCTGTTACGACTCATTATGAATTTAACTACCCCTCCCTTGTTACTGTTTAATTTTGAGATACCAACAGATTCAGTCCTCCGAAATCACTACCTAGACTTGGAAGACCACTTGAAGTCATACAAAGAAGCTTTTGTGGATGAAGGTGTATGGGCCGTTTTTAGTACACATCTCAGTAAAATCCTCGACGTTGATTACACAGATAGAGGGGATGAGAATGGTGTTAAGATCGAACGAGTTTTAGTTCTTATAAGAAATATTATGTTTGTTCCTGCTGATATGATGGAGAAAAGACCTGACAATGACGCTAGTATTCACGATCAAGTTTTATGGGCACTTCACCACTCTGGTCTATTGGATATTATTTTATATATTACTACAAATCCTGCTGAGCAAGGTTATTATATGTATATATTGGAAATTATGTTTTTTATGTTGAAAGGACAAAAGCCTAGTGAACTAGCCAGTGCAGCTTTACAGCGAAGCCAAGGTGAAAAAATCAGAGATGAGGCTGAGTTAGTTAATATAAGGCACACTGAACAAAATATAAAGCAAAATAAAGCTAAAAAGTATATGGGCTCAAGACATTCCAGATTTGGAGGGACTTTTGTTGTTAAATCCATGAAAAGTATTACAGATAATGATTTAATTTCTCATAGACCTCTTAATAAATTAGACTCGTTAAATTTTGATACCAACAAAAGACAGAAGAAAGTTCCTAGGAATAGAGCACCTCTGGTTGATAATAAAATTGAGAGAAGATCAGCTTTTACTATAAGACTATTTTTAAAAGAATTTTGTATAGAATATCTGAATGGTGCTTATAACAATATGATGCAGTATGTAAAGGGCGTTTTAGTAAGAAGTGGTGGAGAAAATCATGATGAGTCATATTATCTTTGGGCCTTAAGTTTTTTCATGTCTTTTAATAGATATTACAAATTCGAAGTAAAACTAGTCAGTGAAACCTTGTCTGTACAAACTTTCCATTATGTTCAACAACAAAGTGAAAATTATTTAGATCTCATGAAAACTGACAAAAAGAAATTATTAATCTGGTCAACAAGACTACACACAGCATTGTTAAGCTATAAAGAACTATTATCAACACTTTTTGTTATGGATAAATCTTCTGATAAGGTGGTTAATGAATCGTCCAAAGTTATCAAAAGTAATATTTTTTACCTACCAGAGTACAGAGAGTTCATAGTAACTTTATTAATAATGTATGATGAATTAAAAATGACTGATCTCTATTTAAGAGACTTAATGGAAACTCAGCATTTGTTTTTAAAAATGTTTGAGATGTACTGTAAATCTGAAGGTTCAATTGTAGTAAAACAAAAAACAAAAGGAAAGAAGAAGAAGCGAACTAAAAATACCAGTTCAAATGGTCCAACTGAACTAAACTTGGATGAAATGTGGGATAAAGTTAGTCCGGAGTTGTCAGCAATTATAGAATCTGGTGGGGAATTTCTTACAGATGCTCCATTTGATGCCACCTTAGACATACCTATTGATGACCAAAAAGGTATGGCGATGAAAAAAATTCAAAACAAATTGAGGCATTCCGAATATGAAAGTGCCATAGGCTTGATGAGGGCTGCTAGAGAAGTTTGGCCAGAAAATAATTCCTTCGGAAATGATAACATGACTATTGAAGAGGAGTTTCTTGCTTTAAGAGATGTTTTCTATGCCGATCTTGGTGATAATCATGTAGAAAATACTTCTTATGCTGATAGTTACGATGAGGAGGAAGAAGATGAAGAGGAATCAGAAGAATCATCCAGGCCTCGAGAAAAGGAAGTTAATTTTAATTTTAATGACTTCCTTTGTCGGTTGCTACATCCAAAAATTGTAAGAGCTGCTGCTTATGCTTTGAAATCTTTTGAAACTAATTCAGTTAATACAAATCATGCTATATTGAAATTAATGCATAGAATAGCTTTTGATTGTAAATGCTATGTTATGATGTTTCAACTGAGTTTATTTAGAACATTCCAGAAAATATTTTCTTTGAAGAATTTACCTCAATATAAAGAGTTGGTGAAGTTTGCGATATACATACTAAGGGAGTTTTTTAAAACAACCCAAACAAACGACAAAGTGTTTGTTGAAGTTCTCTTTTGGAAACATAAGAAAGATGCATATGAAATTGAACATGGGTATGGTACTACTGAAAAGTCGAGTGCAGCGCTTGGCAAAATGTGGACTGAAGAAGAAGAAAATGAGTTGAGAGTATTATTCAAAGAACATCAAGATAAGCAAATTGAAGAGGATGTCGTTGATTGGATTTTAAGTAACTTAGTTAACCAAACTAGATCAAGAAGAATGGTACTGAAAAAATTAAAAGAGTTGGATATCTTGGAAAATTACTCAAAACAGGGTAAAAGTAGACGTAATAATTCTCCGTACTGGACTGCAGAAGAGGAGACACAGTTACGTGAATTATATTCCCAATTCAAAGATTCTCCAGATGTACTGAAATATATAATAAGTGGATTAAGCTATCCTAGGCCTAAAAATAAAATTATAGATAAAATGTTAACATTGGGATTAATTCAAGATAAAAATGATTTGAAAAAGAAAAGCAAGACTAAAAGTAACAAAAATGAAGTTCCCGATGATTTCTTAAGTAGCGATTCTGACTCATCTAGCACATCAACCCGCGTTCCTGTTAAAAGTAAATCAAAAAGTACGTCTAAAAAACGAAGACCTCATACAATTACTGCTGGAAAGGAAGAGATTATAAAACTACTTAAAGAAAATATAAGCGCAGGAAGAGAAAGTGCTGTAACTTGGTTAAAAGAAAGCATCTTTGATGTCATTGATGATTTTGAAGAGGGTCATGAAGGAATTCCTTTGGTACCTTTGGATGAAGATGTGGAAAGTGCTCTAGAGACTGAAGATTTCCAAAAGTTGCTAAGATCTTTTGGATTTTCAGCGCCGTTTGATGAACAAGAAAGCTATTGGAGGATACCCAGCCACATTAAGCTTAATACTTTAAAGGATCACTATGAATTGATTACAACAGGTCTAGATAATAACTTACCGGACGATAATACGCAAAATCAAAACGATAGTTCTCAGGAGTCTCCATCTAGAACTGGCAGGCGAACTCGAATTATATCTTCCTCGGACGATGACAGTGAGGCCGAGAAAGATGTACCTATAACAGACAATAATAAATCAAATTCAAATATTAATTCTAATTCTGATGAAAGCGAAGATGAGATGCCAAAGCAACATAACGCATCTCGACCCAAAGTAGTCTCCGACAGTGAGGATAGTGATACGGAACGGTTAATTATTAATGAAAATTCACTAGATGATGGTGACAATGTCACAGAAATGACAAAACGTAGCAGGACAAATTCCGAATCTGATAGCCCCCCTGTCAAACGAAGTAAAACTGAAGATTGATAAAAATGTACTATACTTTGTTGACGTAAGGCCATATAAATTATTTATGTACTTTTTTAAAATTTGTATAAATATATGTTTTATTATTTTAAGATTTTTCTTTATTTTAGAAGTTCGACCTCATAATACCACTTTAAATTCTGCATACCGTTTAGTACAAGGTACTAATGTAACCATATAGCCCCATTTCACCTTACCTTATTTTATGTGGCAATCGTCTGGTATCAATATGTATTGTTTTCATGTTTCCTATCATTTTTTTCTCCTATTGTACATTCAGTCACTCATTTACCTGGTGTTATCCCATCCTTTCGCTCCAGTGGAAAATTAATAGGCTTAACACATCATTACAAAAGAAGATTCTAAAGAATCCTGGGAAAACTTTTAAGAACACACTAATAATCCCAAATACTCTTTGGATAAACATGACAATTACTAGGTTCTCGAGAAGAACCTCATTGAAAATTTAAATCTCAATGTTTTGACACCCATTTTGGAGCCATTATCAAAATGGATATCGTTATGTTCGAGATCGGGGACTTAATCTGCCTACTACCCTCACTCGTGACATACCAGTATCTTGTTCTCTAGAAATACGAGAACTCTCAAATAGCACTGAGGTCTCAAACTGCCCACCTCTTAGTATCAAGTGACGACCGGTCTTATCCTGTGTAGCTGCTTTTATACCCTAAGTATAGTTAGCTTGGGGGATCGCTGAAGAAGCGGTCGCCATGTTGTTGGCAGTCTTTTGGCGTCATCGCGCGTGTTTAAGCTGTGGGGGCGTTTTTCAATTTCGATGGATTCACGGATAATTCTCGATTTTAAGGAGCGGATAGGAGCGATGGTTTTTGCTTTTTCGGAATCTATTTTGTGACCTGTCTGAATATGATGTTGGGCTAGGCCTGAAGTAGTATAGGAATGTTTTACAGATATAGAAAGTTCGTAAAAACGGTTGTGGATTCGTCGGTTTGCCTGTCCTATGTATGTTCGTGTGCAACTGGAACAAGGTATCTCGTAAACAACATGGCCTTCATTGGGGATTTAGTCTTTTACGGACAAAATTGGAAAATTTGGAGTGAGTCGTGAAGATGGTTTTGATGTTTAGAGAGTTCTACTGATCTTGTCAGTGAGACCTTTGATAAGGTAGAAAAATTTTGGGTTGATCAGGCGGTAAGGCTTCTTTCGTGGAAGGAATGGGGTTTAGATGTTATTTGATGACAAATAATAAAGGTGTCATCAACTTTGTAATCTCCTTTGTTTGAGATTTGATAGGGACAGGGCTGTTGTTTTGAAATGTTCCATGTAGATATCAGCTATTACGGGAAAGGGGGGATCCCATTTGGGTACCTTCTATTTCACATAGATAGAAATGATTTTGGAATGAAAATTGATTATTAGACATGTAGTGTTTATAAGAGATACTGTGTCTTGGGGGATTTGATGTTTAGTCCAAGATAGAAATGGTTTCATCTATAGGAATGTTGGTAAAGAAAGAAACTAATATATCTGGTTGTGAAATAGAAATATTTTTCAGAAGTCAATGAAATGAAAAGAGTTTTCGATAAAGGACGAGCGTTTTTGTAATGGTTGTGGGGTAAGGCTAGATGTTTTACCAATTTCTGAGTAGGGCAGTTGTATGCAACGACGATGGGTCTTAGGGGAACATTGGGCTTATGGATTTTTGGAAAGCCGTATATTCTTGGAATATGATAAATTTAATGCAGACGTTATTTCATTTTTAAAGTTACAACAAATATTAAACTGGATTGGTTACATAGAAAAAATGGATAATCGAGCTGTGAAAATAATTCAGAGCTGTACTTGGACCTTGGAATCTCAAGGAAACAGAACATGCGGAAGACCTCGTAAAATATCACTGAACGAACAGACACAGCAGAATGAAACAATATTACAACAACACGTAATATATGCAGTAGAAGAAAAGAATTGTATCAAGATTTGACATTGAAAACTTCAGAAATTTTTAAGTAGTGTAATTGGTGTAATAATAGCTGCCTATCTGAAGGGTACGTCTAAACCAATTTTAACCATTTTGTCAGTTGTCACTGTCAGTTGCGACAGCTGGAACTGGAAAGGGGTTAGTGGTTAAAGTTACATAAAATAGAGAAAAGGCATTTGTTTAAAAAGTATATGTATTTTTCTTAAGATACTCAATATGTCTACTTTTGTAAGAGTCGGTTTTAGCAGAGTTAATCAAGGCTTATGTAATGTGTTAAGCAAAACTCAAAATGTAACTTTAATTCGAGCAATTTCTAGTAAGACTACAAGAAGTGGTGAAGAACAGCGATCTCCCAAACCAGCCCCATGGCCGTATCAAGAGAAAGGATTCAATTTATTTCATTATTTGTATGATAAGACAACTGCGAGATTAGATGAAAATTCTAAGGTTAGTATTCAAATGTAGGTAACATTTTTTTGTAACCCTTGAAGAGACAAAAGAAATAGATTGACCACAGTTGTATCAATATTAAATTTACCTAAGTTCTTTTGATGTACCTAAATTTCTTTAAGATAGTTACAATAATTTTAGATCATAGTTGTTGAGGGTCCACCAGCAGCAGGAAAATCAAAGCTTGCCAAACAATTAGCAGCAGAATTTGAAATGTTATATTTACCTGAAGCTAATTTGGATATGGAATATATTAACAGCTATGGCTTTGATTTAAGAAAGCTTGATTCTGAGATACCTGAAAGCTGCAGGAGTTGGGATGTTATGGATTTCTTGAAGAATCCTAAACATAGGCATACTCTTAGGTTCCAGATGCATCAGTACCAAGTAAAGTAAGTTTATTTATAAAATATACCTCTATCATGCTGTGAATTAATTTACCTTTATTGTTATTTTTCCAAGAAATGTATCTTAATTTGTTTTTCTAACAGAAATGCATTCTTATCCAATACTGTAGTATATAAAGCTTTAAAAAAAATCGTAATATAGAACGCTGCAAATTTGACCTTTAAGTGGTCAAAATTTAAAAAATCAAAAAAGAATTATGATTGATTTTAGCTTAAAATACCTACAAAAATAAAATTTTAGTAATATAAAATTCTAATTCATATCCGAAATTGAATAGTGGGTCTATAAATTGTAGAACTCCAAGGCATTTTCAGTGATTTTCATTTTTCTTTTACATTATGAGTGAATCATAACAGCAGATCTGATTTTTTTGGAAGATTTTGTATTAACTCTACTGTAAAAATTCAATATCTTTTGAACAGAATATCCTATTTACAAACATTAAAATGGGTGAAGAGTGAAGATTTCATCAGATAGGCAAATACCAGTGTAGGTCCTTAATACCCTCTTAAGTTTCTTAAGTGGGAGTGTATGCATTTATAATTTTCTTTTAATTACTTTCAATAAATCGTTTTTTTTCCATAAATTAGTCATTTTACAACTAAAAAAAATGCCAATTTCTAAAATTATTTCAAATTGCAGAGTGATTCTGATGTTATTCTTGGGTAATATATATTGTATCTAAAATTTGCTTTTAATTTTACTATTACTATTTATTCGTAACTGTTTCAGACTTTCCCAGTATGTTGACGCATTGGCGCATGTATTGAGTACTGGCCAAGGAGTCATTCTGGACAGATGTGTCTATTCAGACTTTGTATTTACTGAGGCCATGTTTAGTCAAAATTATTTACACAAACTTGGTATGTATTAACTACATAGTTAAAAATAATAATTAAATAAAATCATCATCAATATGTTTTAATTTTTTGTCTTGTGTTCATAGCTCGTAAAACTTACTACGAACTCCGTGATAATACTATTGGTGAACTGTTAAGACCACATTTAGTTATTTACTTGGATAAGCCTGTACCTAAAGTTATAGAGAATATTAAGAAACGCGCCATCAGCTATGAAAAGGATTCTCCAGTGTTGACTCCAGAATATTTGGGAGTTATTGAGAAACAATACAAACAAAATTACTTGAAGGAGATCAGGTAAATATTTGATAGATAATATAATAGATAATAGAAACATTTATTACTTTCTTTCATACAAATATTTTAATTTTTTAAACTACATTGAAATATTCATTTAAACAAATTATATTGACATACAATTTGTTTTTGTTTTCTGTGAACATTTTGTTCCATCTAATTTCTTTTGTCATAGTATGTTTTATTCAAAGATATATTTATTTCATTAGCAACTACAGAATTTTTTTCTTTTCAGTAAACATGCTGAATTATTGGTGTACGATTGGTCTGAAGAAGGTGATGTAGAAATTGTTGTAGAAGATATTGAAAGAATTGATTTCAACAGATTTGATGACCAGGATACACAGATGAAGGATTGGGTGTACAGATTAGAGGAAGAATGGGCAGTCTTACGACACAAGTAAGAGAATGAGTGTTATTATTAATTATATGGTGACATTTTTATATATAATTTTAATAACTATTTAGAAGGTGAAACTGTATAATATTGCCATTACAACATCTTTATAAAATACTGCTCCGGTAAAAAATCAGCAACTGTGTATTGTTAACTCTTTAGTTGGTACTAGGAAGCTATCTTCTCACAAAAAAATACTTGCATAATCTTTTTGATCTTCTGTTTGATGAGCCTATCTGTGAGAAATGTTAGCGGCCATCATAACAACCTTTATCTTATTTGCAGCAATGTAGAAAAGCTGCACAGATGATGTGTTGAACCAGGTTCTTTAATCAAATTGTTATTTTTCCTGGACCTCATCTTCTAAATATTTTTCCCTGTAGGATGGCTTGTAAGAGGGATTTATTTTGCATAATGTGTCCGAAGTACTGTAGCTTTTGAGATTTTATGGTATTTAATACCTCATGGTTGTTCTTCATTTATACTTCAGCACCTATTTGTTTATAATTTTTCCAGTTAGTATATACTTAGAAAAATGTTAACCCACAAAGTCGACCATCATCTAATTCCATCTGTACACAGATTACTGTATACATATATTAACAATTTATCAAGATATGTCAAATATTTATTAAAGTAAATAAGGGTCCAGGTCCTGATGGTATTTCATCTATTATTCTGAAAGGTTGCAGTTTTGTCAAATTTTGACTTGGCC